TTCAGAAGTGAATTTTTTAAAATATAGTGTTGTTGGTTATTGGAATTTTCTTCCATCTATACAAACCCTGTACTCATATATATTTGTAGAGACAGCACAAAACACAACATCTTTTAACAAATTTTAGCCTTTAATTTCTATTTTATGAATAAATCGAATTGTTTGTGGTCAGAAATTAATGCAAGTATTGTTGACAGATTAGAGCTATTATATAATGTAAATAAACTGCAAATAATTTTATGAACTGCTTTGAAATTTTGCAAAAAAAACTGTGCATGATCAGAAATTAATCAAAACATTATTGACAAAATCAAACTATTACATGCATAATTATAGACAAGTTATTTCAATTTCATTTGTTAGCATTGTATGTTACTTTTTTATTAATATATTGTTTTTCATGATATAGCACAAATTCATATTGCTTATATAAAAGTATCAATTTACATACTTATAAAAAGGAAATGAATTTTTCAGTACATGTATGTATGAAAAAAAAATGCATATAAGGTGCTGAAAAATTTTCACCCAACCAATAGAGGCTACTTCCCAAATTTCTGATGTTCTCTCATTTGGCCCAATTTTGGAGAATGGCTTGGGCCAAGAACTTTTTAGCATATCCAATAGATAGATAGATAGATAGATAGATAGATATGAATACAACAGTTATTAAAGTTAGTATGAAGAATTAAACCTCCTATATCTTACTCATCACAAAACTAACAAACACTTTCCTCTTCAGTAATTCATATCAGTCAGTTATGTGCAATGCGTGATGCATGCTTAGGCGATCATGGCTAACAAGGTAGATTTTTTCCCACAGTAGGTTGTCATTTCTTTCTGCAGTAGACTAGTTACCATCCAAGGGTACAGAACTTGATCTGTCCTATTTACCCATAGCTAGGGGGAGAAGAAGAGGATTCATACCTTTCCCAAGTATATTAGCAAGTGAATGTAATGGATTTGACTGGAATTTGAACTCAGTTCTCCGATTCCTCAATCTGAGCCACTATCCATTACTCCACCATGCCTCCTCTACGTAGTTTATGTAGAAGTCAAAAATGGAGAAAACACATAAAAATAGCTTCTATTTATCCAAATAGAACAATTTAATGACAATTTCTGTATGGTTTTATAAAACTCAATTTTTCAGTCTTATGACAGTTAAAATGTTGAATAACAAATAAATGACAAGACAAGTGATTACATCAAAAACACCCAAAGCAATTGGACACCCCTACCATATCAACATCTCAAATTCCCTTTGGACAAAGTATAATACCTGTCCCACAACACTCTTAGGTTAGAATAAAATACCATTTAAAAAAAAAATAACACCAGGTCATTTGAAACATCTTCAGATAAGACTATGAGATTCTGAAATACGCTTGTTTCCAATGACAAGGAGTTTTAAAGAGGTTGATATTACAATTTAGAAAAATTAATTTTTTGTAATGTGTGGAAATATTCATATAATCAAAATAATGGAGCTACATTTTTAGTTGTAAATATAAATTAATTAAAGCCTGCTTCAAAAATTGTGAACATAAGTAGTAATTATTCTTTCATATAATCATAAGCGTCTTTATTTATGACAATTATATGCGATTTACAATGAGATGGCTGTTTTAATAATATAGATTTAATATTTAAGACAAAAAATAGCATGCTTGATAATATTGATATAAAATAGAATATTAACTATCAAAGCACACTGACATCTTATAAATTAGGCTGATACAAAAGTGTTCAGCATTTTCTTTTTTTTTGACATAGTTTTTATTCATATAAATTTATAGCATTATTATTCAATCATCAAAATATTCCCTTGACTTTATACAAGCTTTTCAAATAAATTGTGTATTATAAGATAAAAGAATAATTTTGATTCATGAACTTGTTGGAATCAATCACCAGACAAGAAGCAGTACATGATACTAAACAAGTGATAATCTGTGGCAAATATGGAGAATATAACTCTCTTATCAACATAATTTGTTATTTATTTTTCTTTAAGTTCACATGTACAGTATCTTCTTTCAAAAATGACTGCAGTTCATCAGTTTTTCAAGTTTCCTGGTCTTCCACAATGTTACTTGTCCTTGAGTACAAAAAAAAAAAATCACCTTATTAAACTTCATAAATCAGACTTGCATCTATTGAATCATTACAACAAGCATCACTGACCTTTTCCTAAAAATTAAACATGAAGTGAAAATAGTGTTGAATGTGGATCCAATACTCAGCACAGATTTTCACCAAAATAAAAATATAACTTTTCTGCAAACCCTTCTTACAGGACATTCATGTACAAGCAATAAAGAGCTGAATAAAATTTAAATACACTTCTAAAACTTTCATAACATTGTGCAGAAGATGATGCTGTGAAGTTTTGGTATCAACAGTATAAGTCATGGAACTAAAGTTCTTAATTCAACATTTATATAGACATGTGTTTGCACATATAAATAGAAAAAGTGACGAGCAGTTACATTAATTGGAATAACTCGGGTTTTCCTTTTGCACACAAGCAATAACCCTAATCATCAGGTTATAAGTATTTATTGTAAAAAAATAAAAATTAATAATATAAAAATAATGATCAGGAAAAGAATGTCCATATGAAAGTTTTAATAGAACAGAATTTTAAGGGTCAAATGTTCCTGGTTTCTTTCAGCTTCTGCTATTTCATTCTTTCATTCAACACAACATTCATAAAGTGATGGCCGGTGCAAAGACAATGTTCTTTTCAAGATGCAGATTTTGAAAAGCATTGTGCCATGAAGAGGTGACAATCACATTATCCATCCACGTCTCAACATAAGGTGACACCTGCAATGCAAGATTCTCAGGCACAGAAAAAGAATAAATGGCATGTCTGAACGTTTCCTGACCTGTATTCGATGTGAATTCTTTAGAATTTTTATTACAGATATGTGATGAAGAAATGTCAGAGGCTGTAGAAAGGGCCCCTTTGTTCAACTTGTCACTACATTGACACACTCGCGGCATTCGTAAGTGAGCTATCACTTTAAATACTATAAGAGTATTGATTTCTAAAGAGTTCCCCTCGTCTTCATTAGATCGACTGAACCAATAGACAACAGGGTACCCCAATAGGATACCTACAAGAGTAGTCAGGTTCAATGAAGAAGGGAACAAAATTTCATAATTATTTTCACTACCACTGCTACAGAATATAAAAAGGTCTTCAAGAATGTCTGTAATATTTCCATTTAGCATATCTAGTTGGTCAATAAATTTTGGTTGCGTGTTGGTTTTGGAGATGTCCGTGAATACATTAGTTCCTTCATTAAGTACACGTGAAAGGTGATTACGTAGAGTAGCCATGTTGCACAATAACACATCTCCTCCGACAGAGAGGATAAGGAACGTAGTTGGTTGGGAAAGCCGGTGTAAAAGCCCTTGCTGTAGAAGGTCAAGCATCAAAGACAACATCTGATCAGGTTTTACTGGACCATAGTCAAACAAGAGACTAGGTTTAACACCACAATTCACAGCAGCAATGTCACACATGATTTGGTAGCTGAAACGCACAACACTTCGGCTGAAATGTTTCTGGATGCATTTCTTCCATTCTTTGAAAACAGATGCAGGAAGCGTTGAAGATGTCTCAAGATCAGGCTGTAAATATAAAGAGAGAAAAAAGAAAGAAAAATTTTTTTTTTAATTTATGGAAAAAAAAACAATTTTCTTTCAGCTGAAATGATCATATTTGGTTTATTCTGAGAGACATTTATTCAGAAAGCATTAGCCATATAAGATGAAATAACCATGGCTATATTAACATGAAATTTATTGTGTACATGCATGCTCCCAAGAAGAATAAATATGACTAATTCAACTGATACTAATAATATTATGATCAGTCCATATTTTGTGTATTTTATTAAGATTCACCTCTTACCAAAAAAAGATATTTCCAGTAGGACTGAATTTGCAAATTTACACAGTGAGTAGAGTACATTATTTATTGGATACTAAGATGTCTCCTACTTTATTGATAAAAGAATAATATTTTAAACAATAGTTTCTCATTTTGTATATTAATCAATAGTTCTTATAAAACATGATTTTAACCTCACATAGTAATATTATTTAAAATTTTCTTATATATAACAACTTTGTAGCAGGTAAATTTAACAAAAATGTAACATTTGTATCTACTTCATATCAATTAAAAATACAAATTTTATGTAGTTTATATTCTGTTTAAACACAGAATTTACACAGCATTTAAAGTAAATGCATGGACATGTTCATATAAAAATACAAAAAGGTTGTTTGCGATATGTAGAATGAGTGTGTGGCAGAGGAGCATGAGTAAGAAGTCAGATTTACCAACCAGAGTTTTTTTGTTATATGTACACAGATATTAGAAAACTGAAAGAGAATCAACGAAAACATTGTGACAGAATCAATCAAAAACACTTCCTCAAGAATGCATTGAAGCACAATGAAGAGAACATCTTTTATGAGGAAAAATGAAAAGATGACTGTGGATATTGAGAGATAACAAAGACATCTTATTACACTGAGCACAAGCGATGAAACTGTCATGACGCGTATTTTTGGCACAAACAGTAGGGAATCAGACTTTCCTTATCTTTATATATAAAGTTGTAGCTTCTGCCTGCTTGTTTGTTATTGAACTCCTCCTAGGTTTTTGGAGATAGACCCCATAACTATATATGTTCTTAAGCTACTTTACCCACGGTACTTGAATAAATATATTTCATTTTGATCAAAGGGGGTCCCTGGGAGACACAAACCCACCACTGAAAATTTTTTCCCTTTGATTTAAATCAAATTTAAATTTGAACAAAGGAATGACTGCTATCCAAAATAAAGGAGGAGAAAGCCATAAGATGGAGGTCACATTGGCAAGATCAAAATGAGCGGACATCAAGTTGAGCAAGAAATCTCCAATCAGTGGGTAGTGCCTTACAATACATATTTGTTGCAACAATTCAACTGTAATATCAATGTTGAAAGCTGCTCATCAATTCATTTAATCAAGTATCGCATCAAATACATATCAAAAGAGACAGATCAAGCTGTTTTTGCACAAACAGCCGACTGACATTTTTTCCCTTTGATTTACTTTGAACTTAAATTTGAACAAAGGAATAACTTCTATCCAAAATATAGGAGAAAGCCAGAAGATGGTAGGTCACATCAACAAGATCATTGAGTTAATATTGAAATACATCATTTTTTTCCACAAATTATAACAATGATTTAAAATCAATCATCATTTTCTTACAAAAAATGTGTGACATGCAGCAAGGTGCATGTAATTTGGCTAGTGTATAATAAAAACCAAATTTGTAGCAGACACATTTAGTTCAAATATAACAATTCTATCAAGTTTATATCAACTAAAAATAGAAATTTTATATAGTTTAAATTCTGTGTTGAAACACAGTATGTAGAGCAAATACATGGAGACATTCAGTGAAAAAAATGCAACAAACTTGCAGCAAAAATAAGAGGCTCACACTAGTAGGAATAAAATTATAGACAAACACATTCCAACTTGACATCAGCATTAACAAGCCATTTAAGTTGCTGTTGCCTTGGGCTAAAAAGCATTTCAAAAACTGACATTGGTCATTCCAACAAGATTCAGTACCCTCTTATCAAGAGTGGCTAGTAATCCATTTCCTCACTTCATCTTAAAGGAAGAATTGTCTCCATCATTCCCAGACCTAAATCCTCTGGGGTAACTTAGAAAGCAAAGTTTCTGCTACACCCCACCACAATTTTGGAGTCTCTGAAAGCTAAACTCTTGAAGGAATGGGACAAAGTCCCTGAAAGTGTTATCTGTGCCTTATGTGAGTCATTCACCAAACATCTTCAGAAAGTTATTGACAAGGAAGGAGGGCATATTGAATAGATAGTGCATCAAATAAGTTTATGGACATTTAGTTTTGTTTTCTGCTTTGTAAAATGTTTACAAATTGTTTTGTTTAATAGGGATGGACAAAAAAACTTTGTAACACTAATTAATGAACACCCTGTACATATATATATATATATATATATATATATATATATATATATATATCAAAAAAACTAATTTAAACTAATTGGAAAGAGATTGTAGTCCTTCATTACAATGTAATTCTCTTTATTAAAAAAATCTTCCAAAAATAAATAATTTTCTGAAACTTTATTTGAGGAATATTAACTGATTTAAAGTATAATTAAACTGATTTAAAACAAATATTATTTAATATCCATCTATGAGATGAGATATTGTAATTATTTACACTATTTACATTGTTCAGACTGTTGTCCTCATCTTCACTGCCATATTCACGTTTTGGCCGTTGTACGCTCTAGCTTTCTCCAGGTGCTTGGAATTTCGAACTGAATCCTTTATTTTGTCTACCAAGGTAGATTGTTCTAGTTTCACATGCCATGCCTCTTCCAGATGTCTCAGTATTAGTTATCTCCCTTTAACTCAACTCTCCAAGTAGCTAGGTATTGAACTCTTTGGGTCAAGTCACTGGATTCAACCAACACTTTTATCCACTGGGTCATGTGTCCTTGAGTAAAATATGTAAATAGTGTAAATTATTTACTTTAAGTTTAAAATATTGCAGAAATGCAATTTTTTAACACAGCGGTAGGTGGTTATTTAAGCTGTTGATGTTTGACAGCTTCATGTTTATCTAAATGTTATTCTATAGGTGCTTTAGCCAGAAAAAAATAATTGAATGTTATGTGAGCATCTTTTATATATAAATTTTAAGCACTCGGTAATCTTAAAAAATTTTTTAAATATTTTCCGTAATCTAAAGTTTTATTGAATTGTTGATACTTTTTGGCTTTAAATTTTGCTATAGTTATCGCTCTTGTTTTCTGATAATGGCATGTATGAACAACTGTATCTACAAAAATCGGCACATTTATAGACATTCTTTTAAGAATATTGGACCATTGGTGTTTGATGATTTGTACTAAGCGTTTCCATTTATGATTAGTAAATACAGTTTTTACTTATTAAATGTTAAATCTTAAAATTCTGTCAGCCTTTTAGACTTCCCACTTCATCCAAAAAGGGGTGAATACAGAATTTTAAAAGATTTAAAAAAAAAAAAACTTAAATAAATAAGTAAAAAACTTAATATAAATTATTCTGAGAACAATTCTTGTAAAATTTCATTATTCATCGAAAACATTTTTTAAGAAAATACAATAGTGTTCTTAAAAACAAAAAGCAATTAAAAACGTTCATTATTGCTGAAAAAAGATCCTCAAACGTGATAAAAAATAGTTTTTTTATCGATAAAATGCTTGCTCTTATTTATTTATTGATTTTTTTAATGTTCGAAATTTTTTTGGTTAATAATCAAGTCAGCAATGAATCATTGGAAATTTAGCGTTTTTTTGCAGGAAAAACAGTTTTGGAAAATCCCGCAAAAATCAAATAATTGTCGGATTTTAATGAAATTTTCAGGAGTTATTCACAAATGAATTAAATTAGTTTTGAAATTTTTTAGGAAATCTTGATAAAAATACATTTTTTTTCTTACATCTATTAATTTTATGAAATTTCGAGAAATTAAAATTCCACCCTCTTCGTCTTCATTTAGTTGTTAAAAGCAGGATTCCTTGGAGAATTTAAATCATCAGTTTCTTTTTTTGTCAAACAGGAACTTGACACCATTTACTAAAAATCTACTCTGAATCGTAAAATAAAAAAAAAAACTATGACATTATTTAATTAGAAAAAAAAAAGTAAGCAGCATGAAATTGAAATAGCCTCTGACAAAATTGTATGTTTTTATTATTATTTTTTCAGAAGTTTCCGTTTATGCTTTTTAACCAATTTGGCAAACACTAACAGAGAAACAGCTTCTTTTCACTCAGTCATTTAAAAAAGTGTAGCATTAACAACAATGATGTAACAAAGAGATGACATTTATTGAGAGTTGGGAGGTCGTTTGATTTATTTTTTAACCCTTTCTTTGCCTAAAAATTATTTCAGAGGTAATTTATTTCGAAATTTGTACATGTAAAAAGTTTGATTGGTGTTAGAGACACAAACTCGTTTTCAAAACAGTTATTGAAAGATATGACAATTTTTTATTTATTTATTTTTTTTGCATTCTATCAAAAAAATGTGAATGTAACTGTGCTCTAACTTTCGTGAGAAGGTTTGGCTAGGGTTTAACAGTTTTTTTAACTTTTAACCCTAACCAAATCTTCTCTAACAAAAGAAAAAATAATTGTAAAGTCAATTTTTAAACAAAAAAAGATAATATTTATTTTTAAATTTCTTGTTCTTTTGTACTCGAAAATGGTGTACAAAAACAAGGAACATTGTGACGGTTGCCGATAGAAATGAACTGGATGTGATTTTATAAAAAAAAAAAAAAAAAAAAGCTAAAAACATTTTCCGTTACGATTGTTTTTTTCTTCTCGCTCTCTGTTTTTCTTACACGCTCGCATTTACGATTTATCAATAAGACAGATGATCATGTATTTAGTGGTAACGAGAAGTTCCTTTTTTAAAAGAAAGATGCAGCTAATTCCAATGACATCATGATATTTATTTATCATTAATAATTGCAAAATTTAAGAGATTATTATGTTTGTATACAGTGGGATAAAAAAAAACAAACAATGCGGAACTCATTCGGTGGAAAAGGTGTGGATGACTGTCGCTTTTTTCTAGCTTAAAAAAAAAAGAAAAAAAGCAATGATACTCCAAGAGAGTCGAATGTTTGGAACAATTTGAAAAATTTTAAAACATTACTGAATTCCGTACAATTTCTTATGTTATTTTCCCCACAACTATTTGCACATTTTCAGAAGCGCGAATGAAATATTAGAAGAAAAAAGAAAGACTAAAGAGCGCGAGAAAATTATTATTTTTTTTTTTCGATAGAAGCTTAAGAAAAAATTAATTTCTTTAGCAATAAAAATAGATAGAAAAAAAAAACTCAAGTTTATCAGCATGTGGACTGTTTCCTCTCGCTGACCTGAATTATACAAATCAATCTATAAACGTTGGGAATAACAAAAAAATAAATGCAATCCGTGAACACTTTTCAATTTCCATCAAACAATTTTTAGCCGGTTCTAAAACTAAGCTTTTTACTTTACAACAAAATAAGTTTGATTTGTTTAGTTGTCTGAAATGAGTTCCACAAATAATTAATTTTAAAATTGCTTAATTATCAAGCAAACTTTTACAGTCCCCTCCAAAATATTTCTCACGTTATAGTGCTAAATTTATGGCAAAATTACAACAAAGCGTTCGATCAGATAATAATAAACAAACAAACATACCAAAGCTTGTACTTTTAATATTCGTAGAGCAGACATTTTGGATTATTTTCATACCTTCAATTAAAGATTAAGGGAGACAATTGAGTGATACAAAAGCCAACTCTTGATCCGCAATATTGAATCAATGAACATATTGTTTCTATTGCCAGCTTTAACAAATGTAGCACGGTCTTCGATTTTAATTTTTTCATAATTTTCTTAAATGCTCAGCATAATTTACATCCAATTTTATATTCAAAATTTTCAAATAAAAATTTATCAGGACCAGTAAATACCCGAAACAAAATATGTGTTCCTGAAGAGACTTGAAATTTCTGGGGTACATAATGAGGAAAGAGGGTTTGGAAAATCTGATACTCACAGGACAGATTGAAGGCAAGGCAGACAGAGGAAAACAATGCATTACATACTTGAATAAATGGATGGCAGAACAGGGTTTAGGAGAAATAACAAAAAGACAAAATTTATTAAGAGCTACAAAGGATAGGAATTTGTGGTGAGGAATTTTTTTAAAAAATACTTGAAAATATATTGTGGGACTATAACAAAAAATACGAGAAAATATTTAGCTTGACTACCGTTTACTGTACCCACATTCCTGGTGGAAGAGAACGATTTGAATCTTGATAAACACACGTACAATGCAAAAATATTTTTTTCCTAGTAGGGAATGGCAGAAGAGAGAACATCACCTCGTTTATCTTGACTTACGCTGACTATTAAAAAAAAAGGTGCATACAATAATTATAAACTACAAGACTCGCAACTACGACGTGAAACTTGAAAGGTACAAAAAAAAAATCATCCGGTTTTTCTCGGGAAAACAGCATAGCGTAATGAAAAGGCCACAAACTTAA